TATATATATATATAAAATATGAGTAACACTCAACTCATAATTTTGGCAAATATTTTTGACTATATCATCAGCCAATGTTTAATTCAATAAGACACTGAATCCTAACATTTGATATAGTCGCCTGGGGGTGCCATCATGATCATGTTTTTCAAAGCTTTGCAGAAATTGACTAGTCAAAACACATTGTCTGAAATATTTGCCCTGCATGATTAAACACAAATTCATCAGTATAATAATTGTGTAGTGTCCCATTGTAATGTAATGTTTTGGGTAAAGCGTTAGTAGGACCTGATATCGAGGGCAGCGTAGGACGGTCAACGTCATTTTACCAAACTAGCTGACTAAAGCATTTGAGAGTTGAAATAACAATACAGTTTGTTGAGTAAATATGACAGTTCGATGAGTTTATTGTTCTTGTGAACATTACAAGTTGTTATAATCAAAAGAACATCAGCTGCAATACAGAATACATGGAATGTAAAACCAAGAATGTGCGTTCTAATGTTTGGTAATCCAACCTAATTCTAATACTTATTACTAAGGTTACCATACAAAATTTAGTATGAAATTATCTATAAATCTACACCAATAATTGTGTTTTACACAGGGCAATACTATACATTTACATATAAAAAAGTTTCAATTGCTTCCAAATTTAACAAGCAGCATTGACATGCTTTATAAGCATCAAGTCACAATTTTACAAGCAACATATGCAAATTAATGTTTTTTAACATCTTCTGATTTCATTTGGCTATAAAACATTTTATTTCTAGTAATTCATGATTTAAAACCATTAGTATAGTTCAGTAATAACTGAAACACAGTACAAAACAATCAACTACTAGATTAATACTAAATTTGTACTAAAAACATATGTCATAATTATACTTTGTTTCAAGGTCTTTGAAATATGCAATGGATGTAATAAAAAACAACCAACACTGTTCTATAAACATGTATACATAAATTTAAAAACACATTACTAATATTGCATGCACGGATCCAGTTGGGAGCACGGGGCACAAAATATTTAAATTTCAATGAATATTAATGTTATGTATTGAAATAAGCGCTACGCACTTATCTATTTTGAAAATTTATTTCCCGTTTGAAAAATTCTGGATCCGCTCCCCCTGCTTTTTAGCAACTACAACTACTGAATATATATACACTGTGAACACTTTTAAAAATCAAAAAGATTTAAAATTCATTGTAGAACAGTGCAGAAAAGAAAGAATACACTGTTATTCTCTAGGAATTACTTACACAAATGAGCCATTCTACCCTTAATTTAGTTACACAAACAACATCCTGAGAATCACTCGGAGATCACAGCAGCAGAGATGCAATAAGCGTCAGCTAAAGCGGTGATAGGCTGGGTTCCAGTCCCTAATTTTGTCCTAATCAGTGAAAACAATTAAAAATAAATCTATTTTGGCACCAAGGGCATTTCCATATTACTTATTTGCATGGTGTTCCATACTATACTTTTTCTGGGATTTGAAATTCCCAATCCAAATTCAACAACATATCAAAAACAGATGCTGGTGGCACTCTTTGAAATTATCTAACATTACAGACATTCAATAAATTAGAGACTTGTGGCAAGTCTAAAGCAGTGGCAGCAGCAACAGCAGCGCAATACATACAAGAACAAATTTATGTAAAACAAGGTTATCCATCACTGAAACACAAAAACAATGGATGTTTTACAATCCTTAGCATTAACAAATTGAGAAAAGTCAATTAACAATTATGTCACTAGTAATACACAAGTCCTTCAGGCAATAAATACAAAATAAATTAACTTTAGGGCAAAAGTTAATCATTACTTAGTTAAGTAAAAGAACTTAGTTAAAGTTGAAATGAAACAAGACATCTGAAGTCCAGCCTTGCCATCATGATTTTTGCGTTTTGAAATCCGATTGTTTAATCGTGTAAGGACATCCAATAGGTGCTCTGTTTTGAATCTTTCACCCAGATTGACAAATAGCTCATTGAACAGCCAAGCACCAACCTCTTTATTACGGTAAGCTTTGTCTCCTGAAAGGTCAGAGATACAGTATTAAAAAAAAAGGTTTTGTATTTATTGCAAATAATGTTTTTACAAGTCGATGACTGACTACTTTTTAGCTATGGAAGCTATGTTTCCATTTGTTGATATAATTCAATATTTGTAATTTTGATAATGTATTTCTATAGTTCTTTATTTTTCAATAATGTTTTTATTTTAAATTGCAATCAATCCTGTAAAGGGCGACCTTGGGTCACTGTTGGACTTCGATGAAATAAAAAAAATAAATAAATAATTAAATAAAAATAATATAATTTTGCTTTCAACATAATATTGCTATTAGAACAAGACACAAATTATAATTACAGACATAATATTATAGAATACACAGCTATAAATATATACTATCAAACATGCAATATTATTATAAATGTAATTTTGGTGTAACAGTAGTATAAAATAGAAAAAATAAATAAATATGGCTATTGACTTCTGTTTTGTGACTAGAGCTTCAATCAAGGTCCCCGGAATAATATCTCAGGTGGAGTTCATAGGAAGAGGTTCTATGGGTTACAACAGCCCATTATTTCGCTTTCAGAACACAACAAGGATAAGCAATCAAAATATATTTATATTTTAATAGTCTTTTCAGGGTCCTGGTTTTAATTCCTGTCATGGTAACAGGATTTTTTCTCACGACCCAAAAACTCCACTCCCTAAACCTCATAATCACATACTAATTTGAGTAAAAATATTTGTGACAATTTACAGCCCAGACGCGTGCAGCTCTGGAAGAAATATATCTAACACCATTCTTTTAGATGTCTTATCATTATTTACAAAATATTTTTATTGGAACACGAATCTACAAAACGTTGGAAGAGGACTTGTCGCACTACAAAAGACACACTGTGAGAATTCATTTATTCAAACTGCATTAGTACAGTACAGTGAAAGGAGCAGCAGAGTACTCAGTATGTAGTAGGTAAGTGGAACGTACAGTACCACTTCAGTGAGTGTGGCTGATACAAACGCGTATACATTCACTAAATATAATGGAATAAAATACATTATAAAATGACCATGTTAATCCTTAAGTCAATATGTGATGAATAGGAATGTCTACACCCATCACAACATTGTAGCATGTATTCTATAACCCATTTTTACCATATTCTTTAATAAACTTGCATTATCAGTCACGTAAATTATTTAACGGTAATCTTAATTTCATTTGCAAAGGTCTTTCTAATATTATAGCAGTATATTATAGACGTAGCAGTATTTTATATTATGCTTTAGAATATTCAATTTGATATATGGTAATACTTGCAGCATTTTGCGGACTAACCTTCGCAGAATGATTATTTTAATGATACTTCTGGGCAGATCCATAGGGGGTGATGGTCGTCGAAATCCAGAGACCCTTCCAACACCACCCTTAACACGTTAGAGTGCTTTTTTAGCTGGCGAAAAAATGTACAGATGTTGGGCGTATATATAGGGGTCAGGTGTCATTTATGAGAATAATTTTCAGGCTAACATTATTGTTGCCTTTTAAGTCTCTGAAAAGATGGGAGGTTAAGAGACAGTAGACAGTTCTCCAAGTCATTTATGCTATTATTTATACAGGGGTTCCCTCCTTTCTGCACCCACCCCAGTATCTCACAGCCTCGCAAAAGGCTGCCTTGCGAGTTAGACTTAGTCTATGTAGAGCATCTTGTGTGTATTATGTTTGTCATGTGAATGGGTATTCCACTTTGAATAGTGACATGTTCACTGCTTGGCAATCCTTGGCCTTTGGCCTAAAACCAGTTAATAAATAAAAAATGTCATTGGACGACAGTGGTCCAAGCCTGTGAAACTTTCCCCCTGACCCCTCACTAACCATCACTCTTTGTACATTTTGGATTGGGGGTGGTGCAGTAATACAGGATCAAATAAATGCTTTAGTTTTTTAAAGCTAGTCTTTAGATCATGAAATTGCAGGTTTTTCTTTGTATTTTGTTTAATATTTTTTTTCTGCTCAAATGAGTACACAATGAACAAATCATAATTCTGTTGAAAAGTGAACATGGAATATTGTTTTATCTAAAATATAGTTGATATTTCACCCTTACCTCTACTGGTATCATGTACAACCACCATGTCGGCATTCCCCGGTATTATCGCAGAATAATATCTCACCGCATCATCAACGTCTACTGGAAAACTGTCATCATCTGACCTGTCTCTGACTGGTTGTAGTTCTGGTATGCTTCTACAGGCTTGGAAAATCAATACCTTCGGCTTACCTAAAGTGCCAAAAAGATTTATAGAAGGAATCAAAGATTGATGAAATGCATATTGTTTCTACAAACAATATTGATGTGACAAATATTGTACCTGTGATATGCATTTCTCCATTCCATCAGAATATTTAATAGTAATACATACCAGAAATGTTTTATTAAGCTCTGTGGTAGTTTTACAATTTTCGCATGATTCAGCACATATAATATATTTGAGGTGTACAATACAAGAAGCGCTACATGATAGACACTATTGTATACTGTAATCTATCTGGTTTGTGCAACGTGAAGCATTACTTAATCTGCAAAAAAATTGTATTTTATAGTATCCTGATGATAAAGAACATTAAACATGTTTAGGTATGTATTTAAAAAATACATCTATAGTAAATCCTGCAGAACATATTCTGTAAGAGCGTAAATTAATAAAATAAATAACAAAAATAAATTACATGCTGTGGCATTCCTTTCTAAAAGCGCTGCTAATTTGAGTGGTGCTTATTGCAACATTTATTGTAATCCAAGATTGTTAGTAAGTTATACAATGAATGGTCAAGGTTGACAAACATGACTGTAGTGTTGTTACTTTTTACTGTAATCTATATTTGAACTGATTTTTCTTTAATATAGTATTACAAATAGTTTTCCTCATAAATTTTAAGGTCACTAAAAATATTTTTATACTTTTAATATTTTTAACGTTAATAATTTTTCTACCTTAACTAAGCTACACTAATGTGTGAGCGTTTTAGTCAGTTGTATAAAAGTGCATGGGGTTAGAATTGCTCTCATACCTATAGGTCTCCGCAGTCTAAAGGTAAAAATTTGCCTTAATAGCGAGAGGTTGCAGGTTTAAATTCTACCAGACACTTTTTTATACAACTGAAAACTTTTCTTTGAAGGTTTATGCTTGATATGTTCCTATCTGAGCACTATAAATACACAAGTCCTTCAGGCAATAAATACAAAATAAATTAACTTTAGGGCAAAAGTTAATCATTACTTAGTTAAGTAAAAGAACTTAGTTAAAGTTGAAATGAAACAAGACATCTGAAGTCTTGTTGTTGTTTATGCAGAAACTTTATAACCCTGCCATAGAGGCTTCATTGGGAATACAAATCATTTTATAGAATTATCGCAAGATGGTTTGCAGTTTACCTTATTGCACCATGATTGATTTAAAAAATATTTTCCAGAGATTTCATCTTGTCGTTCAAATGCTTGACAAGTATGTACTGATCTCTCTCATTTGCAGTGCATCAAGAACTAATGAACTATGTGTGTGCAAAGTTTAGTGAAAGATTAGTTGCCTTTATCAGATATAAATTCCCAATGAAGCCTCAAATTGCCCTGTTGGTTAGGGCAACTGCCACTTCTTTTCACACTTGAAAATTCCCCTTTTCAACATTCAAAATGTATGTATTATCATTACCGCAGGCAAGTTTATATTTTATTTTCATCCTCTATTTGCAATGGTTTTTTTCAATGTAATTTTATTTCATTTCAATTTGTCACAGAAAACTTCATAAATCAACACTATCAGGGATGGATCCAAAGATGTCCGAAAGGTGGGGGAGACTGATAGACAACACTACCCTAGGGGGTCGGGGTATTCCCCGGAAATTTTTGCTTTCTAGACGCCTGGAAATAACCTCTGAGGCATTTTGGGCGATTGGTAATTTCCTTCCTTTTTTACTTTCCAGAAGGGGGCCCGGGAACGCCCACCCCACCTAAATCTGCCCCTGACTATCCTATCAAGATGACCACAAAAATGAAAATTATTTTTTTTTACAAATTAATTATACATAACTTACCAATCATAAAATGTTCAAACTTTGATACTATTTCATCAACTCGAACATATGCGTTGGTCTCTACCAACCGAATTTCTTCCTAAAATTATTTAATAAAGAGGAATATGGTCTTAACACTTAATATGGTCTTAACACTTATTTTCTCGAGCTGTTATTCAATTTCAATCAAAAATAGAACTTCCAAAATGGATAAGCACACAAACATATACAACACAAACAAACAATGAATTAAGTGTTTCACAAAATTTTTAAAATGGCTTGGTAGTACAGTATTAGAATTAATAGTAGTAGTAGTAGTTAGTAATAGTAGTGCTATGCAAACAGGATTGCAGATGTCACACTTTTAAAGGCATATAACAGACGAGCTTCTGGAAACCGGAAGGGTGCAGATTACTTTGTACCCAGCATGCAACACCATACTACAGGTATGTCCATCCTCAAGTAGGTATACATCATTCTTCGAGGAAAGCATTAAAGGCAGTTCCAAGACACATAAGGGAGTTCAACTGCAACTGATCTGAACTACTTGGTCGTAAAACTACTCTGTGCCACCAGGAATCTGCTCACCTCAGCCAAGAGTGTGTGATACCGTCTGTGCAATGGGTATCCCACCTTAATACACATTTCATGCACGCTACCTGTACAAGCACAAACAACCTTATCAAGTCCTATGGTGATGGGCAACTGGTGAATGTGGCAGGTTATGAAATTGGAAGATGCTAACCAGAAGCTTGCACATTGGTGGCATGGGACACTGGTCACTTTGTTGTAGATTAGTAGTATTATGTTTATTAGCGTCTCACCCTTTTACAAAGGCCTGTCAATACTGGCTTATGTCTGGGTGAATCTTCATTAAAAAATAACAATGATCTACTGTTTGTGTGTTGTCATATTCTCGATAGCATTTCGCCCGCCAATGGTGCAGTTTACGCCCAGCTTAGTGTAGACAAGGAATAAATTAAACAATCACAGATTGCTTCGCCATGACGGACAGAAGTTGGGTCTTCACTACATATTGTATAATTTACAAGATAGAAAATAGCACACACTTGAAGCACTTAACTGAAGGCACTAGACTAAGGACTGGGTTGCAGGCTTTCTTTTCATGGAGTATTCTTTAAGGCTTACAAAAATAATTGAAAAACAAAAGGGTAGAGTGTGAAATTTTCTTGTTGAAACATTGATGAAGGTTAAAATAATTCTCATACCAGTGCACTTATCTTAAAAAAACAAGACAATGTACCAGGGCTTGTAGGTTAAAAAACTAAGGGTGGGTGATAACATTGGTAAACTTTAAATAATAAGAGTGGATTTTAAGAACGGAAAAGTTAGTTAATAAGGGTGGGCGGAGGGCCATGAAATTAGCTCTAGACTGGGTGGAAAACTTCCAAGTCTGGGTAGCCCCGCCCACCTCAACTACATCCCTGTGTACATGCATGCAAGAAACTCTGCAAGTTATTTACTGGTTAATTATATAAAAAATAAAAATAATGTAAATCATTATTCAAACAAGGTAAAATAAAATAGAAATAAAGAAAAAAATTGTCAAAAAAGTCAAACAAGGTATAATAAAATAGAAATAAAGAAGAAAATGTGAAAAAAGTTGTACCCTTTTAATTTGGCTAATTATAATGTGTTCTTCATATTCCTGAGTTAAGAATTTATTCTGAATCTGTTATTGTATAGAGTATATTTGTATAGTCACCTCTAACTATCATACCTTACAGTATTAGCTGAAAAAGATCTAAGAAAAAAAAACACCCAAAGGCTTACAGAAATGACAACTGGCTTTTGGGTATCCTTGTGTAATTCAGCCCCACCAGACTCGTTTTTCAATGTGATCCCTTTGCCATGGCTTGAGATGATAAAGAAGAAACTGCTGCTGTTCTCGGCATCCATTTTTACATCATCAATGATTTCCCACAATTCTTCTGGTGTCCGTGTGTCTTCAAAGAATTTAATCGTAAACTCTCTATCTTTAAAGAAACGATGAATGTTTCGTTTGTCTACTAGTACACCTTAAAGATAAAAATTGACTTATACTTAATATTCCATAATTCCTTTCTGACAATTACAAAAACAAACTTGACATATTTTATGCAAAACAAATGCGGAACTTTCAAATATCGTATTTACTAAAACCACTATGCAATTTATCATAAACTCTACAAAATTAAATGCTTTTTTTGCAAATCAAAATCCTCATTATTAAAATTATGAAGAAGGTACACACGTAAGTTATAATATAAATTTGATAATTTGATTGTCTTTGTACTTTTCTCTCAATTGTTGTCATTTGATTGTATTTTACTGTATGTGTTGCTGGGCCCTGGGTGATTGTTTGTTTGTTTGTTTAATTTATTTCTCCACACACATGAACATATTAACATACATAACAAAAGCTTAATAGTAAAACCAACTAAGAATAATAGTACATTACAGAATAAGTGTGTGGAAGGAGGCCAAAATAAGTTTAGAATAAAACTTTAAGCCGTGGCCACCAGTTAAAAATATAACTGATATAAGGTAAGATTAAAGTATTATACAAGGATAAAAGAATGTTCTGCGGAAAGTAATGTTTTAATTTATTCATAACACCAATGTTTCTTCATATAATATTTGTAATACTGTTAAATGGGATAACAGTGTGTTTGTACTGATCAAGCAATCCAGGGTAAAGATGAAATAAATAAAAAATAAATAAGTGTCACTTACCATCTCGAGGACGTTTTGTATGGTCTTTTTCTTTAACAAAGATTGAGATATACACGACATATCCCTTACCAGCAGGATAACAATCGCCTTGGTCTTTGCGAACAGAAATCCCAGGTGTATTGGTTAAACCAGGAGATGTTACATACGGTTCTGCATCCATAGCTAATATTGAATAAATAAAGCATATGAAATTTAATAATAGTAGTCAGTAAGTTTCAAAGGGGGTTCGAATTTTTCACATCATTGGGCCACATTCAACTAAGCCTCGCAAAGATTTATAAAAAATGCCAAATTTCAAATGTCTTGGAGTTAATTTCAACAAGAAAATTCTGGAAAAGGGTGATCTTGAAGCCCCTGGCTAAGGGCTTGATAGCATCATAATAGTGTTAGTGTCGATGTCATAGTCATCATCATCATCTGTCGATGTCATAGTCATCATCCCTATAATCAACACTAAAAATAGTTATGTGATTTGTATCTTTAAAAAGCTTATAACGCTATTAATGGACAGTAGTTAAGTCTCTGTCGTACTGTACTGTTTATTACCAGTGAATGGAGACACTTATTTTTTAAATTTATTTTTTAATCTCTTCTCCCCATGCAATAAAAGTAATATCATTATCAATATCATTACTTTAAATTTGAGAATTTTGAATGTTATTGATTATCCTAGTCAGATGTGTTTGGGCAATTCAACAGAACAGACATTTCATTCAGATAAGGTCATTTATACTCTACACAATGTGAAAGAGAACCCAAGCAATTGGACCTTTGTATGACATTTGCGAATGTTTAGTCCAGTGGGCCAGCGGGATTTGCTCGAGAACACAAAGATGACAAAGTGTGCACTTGTTTTATTTAATAATCCACTCACGACGGCATTTGGCCGCCAACTGCCCAGACAAAGTGGATACTTTAATCTGTTGGTCGATGGTCATATGATGCCTGGCTTAATACAACACCTGCACAAATAATTGAAAAGATCTACAAATCAATACATTCTTGTTTTTGTATAATTGTAACACCTGGGAACAAGATAAATGAAACATTATAAAAAATATTAAACAAATATTTATTAAAGCATTTTCTAGCATAAATTTCAATTTTTAATTTTTTATTTGTTATTTTTTACATGAATGAGAAATTTGTAAATAAAATACATAAATAGATAAGGATTTAATTTGAAGGAAAAAAAATAGATACAATTAAACTTAATTTATTTTTTATATAGAGAACTTAAATGCATTTTTAAAGTATTAAACCCACCCTGATAAGCTTTAACCCCTACTAATATTTCATTACCTTCATCTCTCAATTTTTCTTCATATTGTGTGACTACCGCCACCAGTGAATCATGGGGAATATTTTGTAACTGCTCTTTAAGCAAACTATAATCGCCAATGGTAAAAATTCTTCGCTTCTCTTGAGCAGATAAAACATCTTCCATGGTGTCCATATTTTCAACTTCCCGTGCCCTAAATCCTCCATAATCATCAGTTCTAAGGCGTTTCTTGTATAACTTGACTTCTTTTTCAGTCAAGTCACGACTAATAACGTCCATCAAATCATCATGTATTTTCTTGGCTGCTTTTGCCATGTCTCTGTCTATATGGTTTGTTCAGCTTTATGGTATTCCTTCAAAGTTACGAAAATCACACAATAATATTGTAATATATTTATATAAAAAAAAACTTTTTAAAGAAAATCAAATATAAAACAATGTAACCTTATAGACATTATAATAAACAATAATAATTTAACAATACTGGCAGAAGAGCATAAAATCCCATTGTATAGTAAACTAGTACCAGGCCCAAGATATTTATACTTGTATACAAACTCATACAATACACTATTTTCACAATGACAAATATTGTTATTACCAGAACCTTTGTTTATCCCCTTCAATATCTATTTCTGTGACAGTCTTTTGAAGTGTGTAAAGATCCATTTTATCCCATACATATTCAAAATATTGGGGGGGATGACTCAATGGACCATCCCCCCTTGTCAAATATTGGGGGGATATATCCCCTCCATCCCCCCGGGATCTACGCCTATGGGCTTGATAGCATCATAATATAAGCTCTGTCGATGTCATAGTCATCATCCCTATAATCAACACTAAAAATAGTTATGTGATTTGTATCTTTAAAAAGCTTATAACGCTATTAATGGGCTGGAGAAGTACAGTAGTTAAGTCTCTGTCGTACTGTACTGTTTATTACTAGTGAATGGAGACACTTATTTTTTAAATTTATTTTTTAATCTCTTCTCCCCATGCAATAAAAGTAATATCATTATCAATATCATTACTTTAAACTTGAAAATTATGAATGTTATTGATTATCCTAGTCAGATGTGTTTAGGCAATTTAACAGAACAGACATTTCATTCAGATAAGGTCATTTATACTCTACACAATGTGAAAGAGAACCCAAGCAATTGGACCTTTGTATGACATTTGCGAATGTTTAGTCCAGTGGGCCAGCGGGATTTGCTCGAGAACACAAAGATGACAAAGTGTGCACTTGTTTTTATTGATAATTCACTCACGACGGCATTTGGCCGCCAACTGCCCAGACAAAGTGGATACTTTAATCTGTTGGTCGATGGTCATATGATGCCTGGCTTAATGCAACACCTGCACAAATAATTGAAAAGATCTACAAATCACTTACATTCTTGTTTTTGTATAATTGTAACACCTGGAAACAAGATAAATGAAACATTATAAAAAATATTAAACAAATATTTATTAAAGCATTTTTCTAGCATAAATTTCAATTTTTAATTTTTAATTTGTTATTTTTTACATGAATGAGAAATTTGTAAATAAAATACATAAATAGACAAGGATTTAATTTGAAAAAAAAAAATAGATACAGTTAAACTTAATTTCTTTTTTATATAGAGAACTTAAATGCATTTTTAAAGTATTGGATCCACCCTGATAAGCTTTAACCCCCACTGATATTTCATTACCTTCATCTCTCAGTTTTTCTTCATATTGTGTGACTACCTCCACCAGTGTTGTATGGTTAATTTTTTGTAACTGCTCTTTAAGCATACTATAATCGCCAATAGTAAAAATTCTTCGCTTCTCTTGAGCAGATAAAACATCTTCCATGGTGTCCATATTTTCAACTTCCCGTGCCCTAAATCCTCCATAATCATCAGTTCTAAGGCGTTTCTTGTATAACTTGACTTCTTTTTCAGTCAAGTCACGACTAATAATGTCCATCAAATCATCATGTATTTTCTTGGCTGCTTTTGCCATGTCTCTGTCTATATGGTTTGTTCAGCTTTATGGTTTTCCTTCAAAGTTACAAAAATCACACAATAATATTGTAATATATTTATATAAAAAAAAACTTTTTAAAGAAAATCAAATATAAAACAATATAACCTATAGACATTATAATAAACAATAATAATTTAACAATACTGGCAGAAGAACATAAAATCCCATTGTATAGTAAACTACCAGGCCCAAGATATTTATACTTGTATACAAACTCATACAATACACTATTTTCACAATGACAAATATTGTTATTACCAGAACCTTTGTTCATCCCCTTCAATAACTTTCAATTTAATTTCTGATTCATGTAAAATAACGGAGATGGCAGCATAGCATTTTGTGTTAATTTACATAATACACAAGTTAATGGCATTAAATAGAAATATCAATAGAAAATATATCTTAGAAGAAATTCATCTGGTTATCTCATATTAAAAGTTGTTTTTATTTTTTCCCCTGAATGCTGTAACCATGGCTATAACTCCTTTGTTGACAACCACTGATGCATATCAAGTACAGTACTATGCATCAGTACATTAGCCTGTAAGTAAGTGAAACTGTACACATGCAATGCAATGGCCAAATATAAGCCAAGGGGTTTTAATTTGAACCAGAAAGACATAAGATAACGTTGAAATCGAAGAAGCAGATGACTACCATTCAAAAGTCGATGAGGAGGAGGTGGAAAGTAGGCTTGATAATTTAAACTGGTGCAGTTGTGGCCAATGTCAGCTACCTGTAATGCCTACAAACGATCAAAGAATGCCTGTGTTCTAGGGAAAATGATGTTTTCAGGTCTAAAATAGACGATAGCTCTTATTGTAATTCGAATACAGAGACAATTAAGAGTGCATGCACTAAAACTGAAATTCAGAATTTATTATGGTTATCACCTGATTCTCAGATTCAGGCATAAGCGAACCCACTTGCCCAACGGCCGGGACAAGTGTTTTTTACGTACATGGGTAATGCTTATACAATACTTTATAAAAACTCAGATTCTTGACAACACGCAACATATTTTATTTGTCGGCATACTAAAGAGATATCAAACAGAAAACGGACTACCGTTGTGCACTGCACAGCGTGCTATGTTGACCAAATTTTCGGCAAACACGACTCAAACTTATCATGATATATGGTCATACTCACTACTAAATTTTCGTATTGGTGAAACAAGCTTTTATGTATCATTTATTTTACAGTCCCGACTAAATTAAAAAAGAAAAATATAGGCCTACTCAATGTAAAATTTGTTATTTTCTGCAGTAAAGATTGAAAATGAATCCTTAATTGTTACATGTTTGGCCTGTCACATGGTCTGTTTAAAATATGAATTCGCACTGGTCTAGGCTATAAATACCAGACATATTCAAAAACTCAGGGTGCACAGCCATCATGATTAGTTGAGTTGGATGACATGAGATGTCTGGACTTAAAAGAATAGTATTACTACTTTCGAGGTTCGAGTGCAAATATGAACAGCAGCCATTAGGCAGACTTCAAAGAAAGCCTAGCCTATTTTGTGTGCGCACGTGGGGAATGCAATCTAAAAACACCATTCGTGACTCGACACCCACCTCCGCACCACCATGGTCAGGGTGAAAATTTGAGAAAAAAGTACCATCTAGATCGCTGGAAATCGCACTTCTTATAGTACCATTCATCATCATCACATCACCAGTATAGTTAAAATGAAGCGCCAGCAAATTTGTCATGATCTTTTATCGCGATTTTTGGCAGTCATTGATAGAGATCTAAATAATCGTACCATAGTGGTTATAAATCAATTCATGAAATACTGTAAAGCAGATTTGTTAACATCAAGTTAAATTTTATTAGTCAACAAAATACAGTAGGCCTAGGCCTATATCTCCAGATTCGGAGGACCAAGAGTAGAATTTACACTAGACTAGGGCGAGAGATGAAGATGCATCTGCATAGCCTAGAAAAATTATGTGAGCAAACAACCATAGCCGAACTAAATCTTTGTGATACAGTACTGTACAGTAGCTAATTCAACACTATTCATTTGAAGACAAAATTCCTACTTTTAAACACCTTTATATGCACTCTAGGCCTAAAGTTCAAAATATTTAAATTTTTTTCTTATGTATGGTACCCGTTCCAAACACACCCCTGCTTGGGGTGACGCCCTCGTCTGACGCTATGCGACAAGTTCTTCTTTGTCTCCCATATTGGATGGCCTATTTCATTTTTCTGACTAATGTAAATCCCTGGACTGCGCATGCGTTGTTTATTTCACGTAAATATATCGTTTACTGACTTGTTTATGGTCACGTAGTATATCCCACTTCCCAATATTACAAGCCTATAAACAATGATTCTGCGCATCTTATTTTCCTAGCGATTTTCCATGCAAATTTGAGACAGTATTGGGGGGGGGGGGTGGAATTTCCCCTCGCTGGCGCCACAACTGCCCACCTTTCATCATCATCTTCTGGTACTGTGCATAACCTCTATTAATAGAGTATACTCGCACAAAGCAAAATGGTATGCATCATTGCAGATGTGTTAAAATTTCTCTTTCCCTTATCTTTTTAAAATCAGTGGCTTTGTTGAAGTTATTACTTTAACATTTTTAATTCTTCTTCCTCATTTAAATATTATATAATATGAGTTGCACATAGGATACCACCTGATGAGTGTGGTCAGCTTCGCTGATCATACGAAACAGATTTGTAGTGGGAAATAAAATGATGAAGTAAAAAAAGTTCGCCTCTGTTCTTTATTTTATATATATA